TTGGGCGCGCTAGTGCTGACGTCTGCGTCGCTTGTCTTGCCGGTCCAGATGAGGAGCCGCCTGACCCAACCGCCCGAGGGACCATCATCCCGACGTGCAGCCTGCGCCTTGGGGTCGTTGCTGTTGCCTTGGGCGCGGGCCTGCCGCAGCAGGCTCAGGCGGGCGGGTCTTGGTTGGGCCAAGACCGCGTTAAAACGGTAGCGTTTCCATTTGCTCAAAATGGGACCGGCCCCCTGCTGAGCCAGCCTTTTGGCCATCTCGTTTGTCTCTCTTTTTGTATACCTACCTATTAGTTGGTAGTATAGTTGGATGTTGGCTTGGTCCGGCATCGTCGCACTGCGTCTCGCAGCAAGGCTCTAGCGAGCATCTTCATCATTCCCCCTTATATCTGTCTATTTTATATCATTTTTGTTTGCCCGTAGCCCCAGCACCCACCTGACTCCACGATGTCGTCCCTGTCCAAGACGGAATTCTGCTCTCAGGGCGGAGGCAGGTCTGTCATCAACTACTCGTACACAGACTTGCCATGGCGGCTTCTGGGTTACGATGTGTACTACTTCTTCCGATTTTTCTGGGCAATCCCCTACATCGTGGTGCCTATCAACAAACCCCTTTCGGGGTCCATGAGCGAGCTCGCACCGACGCGCCAGAATGCCTTCTGCATCGCCATCCACGTCCTCCTGTGCATCTTACAGCTGGTTTTCATCCTTCTCCTGCCCTTCGCCGCCATTTTACCCGGCTGGATCTCGGCCCTGGCCATAGGTGCCTATCTCTTCCTCAACACTCTAATCTGCAAGCTGCTCAACGGGAAGGAGGAAACGTACTTGTCTACTGAGAAGTATGCTCCAAAACTCGAGCAGCACGCCCACGAGCAATGGATCTACCTAAACGGTGTTGCAGCTGGGTGAGAATTGCCCAAAGCCCATCTGCCATATGCGAGTCTAATAGTAGGGTGCCTAGAACACACTGGCTACAGAACAACCTTGACAGGCTGGCCCTCACCTTCAAGAGACCCATCCTTGGTATTCACAATAAAACGTGAGAAACTCCCGCCGTTGGTTGCATCCTTGTCGGATTCTCTCTGCTAACCCTATGCTTGCGCTCAGCGACGGCATTCTTTTCGACGTCATCGAGTGCCTAGTCCAGCGCACCTTTGGCTATGCCACGGGCGATGTCCGTCTTTGCTACAGGATAGTCAAGGAAAAGCTCTACGACCCCCGGTTCTCCAAAGTCATTCTTATCCTGCATTCGCAGGGCGGGATCGAGGGTGGGATGGTGCTTGACTGGCTTCTTCAGGAGCTCCCTCAGGATCTCCTCGCTAAGCTCGAGGTGTACACTTTTGGGAACGCGGCAAACCACTTCAACAATCCCCATCGCCACATCGGCTCCGAGGAAAGCACCGGGCCCGGCCTGTCTACTTCGGCATCCAACCAGACCCCGGCCACGAGTGGCACCAACGGCGTCACCAATGGCGACCATGGAACAGCCCGCGTGGCGCGCCTCACCCGCGAGGCCTCGTCGTCACAGCCCTCTGCCGTATCCGACCGGGTCATTGGACACGTCGAGCACTTCGCGCACACGACCGACTTCGTGGCCCTGTGGGGGGTCCTGCACTTCGCCACGTCGGCCGTGGCCTCCCCCTCGATGCCGCGCTTCATCGGCCGCGTCTTCGCGCGCTCGTCGGAGCGCGGCGGCCACCAGTTCTGCCACCACTACCTCGACGGCATGTTCCCCCTCAAGGCCGACGCCTCGGCCCCCGGCGGCTTCTCGGGCTGCCTCGAGGCCGGGCCGGACGAGGGCCAGAACGAGTTCATGGACAGCGAGGTCGTGGTCGGCGCCGCGGGCGACGAGTACTCCGAGGTGCACAGCGCCTACGAGGCCTCCTGGTTCGGCGGCGGCGGCGGCGCCCTGGCCGGGCTCAAAGGGGCCGCCGCCGATGGCAGCAGCGAGGTCGACAGGCTCCCCGCCGCTGCTGCCGCCGCTGCCGGGACGGGCGCCGTCGCCGACACGGGCAACGGCGAGGTGACGGTGCACAGCGCCAGCCCTGTCCTCAGCAGGGCGGGGACGATGAAGCACGTCGTCAAGGTGAAGCACCTCTGTCGTCTTTGGCAGTACCGAGACGGCAGGAGCCCCGAGGATGCCCCTGGTGGAGTTAATGGCGTGTTGCGCGGTATGACTTTGTAAGCGACGCGCAAATCTTGGGTTGCATTTTGGTCTTGTTAAAATGTCATGCGTATATCTTGAATATGCCCAGCTGGAACACTGGCACTAGGTGGAAACTGCCATCTTTTTCTCATTCTATTTGATACAACTATTTTCCTTCCTTTTTGAGCACAGCACTTCATCTGTTTTTTTTTTTATGCAGCTCGCCTGAACTCCGGTGATATCCTGATTTTTCTCCGTCGATGCGCTCCGAAGGGTCTTGTGTTTAGCAGAGGAACTCCCTGAGAATATCGTCACCACTGCCGAGATTTCAGCCTCCGACGAGGCAATACTTGACCAGTTGCGAACCAGGGAAGGCCACTCGAGAGCGGAACATAGGGGGAAGGTGTGACGGCAGTTCATTATTTCCATCGCTGTTGTATCCCTGGGTATATCCTGCCCTGATCCGGTCCTTCTATCTACCTGTCTTGCCCATCTACGTACCCGAATCTCTCTGCAAGCCGGCAGCCCCGACCACTGAGGAAATAGCAAAAGTGAAAATGGCTCGTGCGCTGGATATCAGGGAAATGAAGCATAGAGAACAGAAAAAAAGAAAGCAAACAAAGTCGAAGGGTAAAAAAAAAAATCCCGCATTGCTCAAAACGCCCTGCTCAACCCCACATCGCTCAGCCCGAGCAAGCTATATCAACTATCCCAGCTCTTCGGCAAACTGCAAAATGTTTGACAACCCTGAACTCCACAAGGTGCGGCCAGCGCGCCTTTTCCACGCGCTCCGCTTCACCACCCATCATTACCCATTGAAAAAATCAATCATTACGAGAAAAGAAAATTTGCCCCTCGATATGCTTCTGCGACACACAAAGTTGCTGTTCTTCTGCTTCTGCATGCAAGGCAACAGACGAAGGGGTTTCGGAATAAAACTCGAGGTAAAAACGAAAACAGAATAAACGCTGAAACTTGCGAAAAGCTCTCCATGACCCATGCTTGTTGATACAGTTGATGATCGTCGTAGTCGTCGTTAATCTTGTTGTACAGTTTAGTGTATACAAGCGCAGTTGGTGTCTTCGAGACTGTTGCTTTGCATGGGTGACGCGTGACTTCTCTGAGGATGATTCTATAACGCAGACTGCTGAATAGCCTTTGCTTACCGACTGCCTCACGAGTTGAGCACGACACTGAGCTCCAGGAGAAGGCGAACAAAGCGCGTGTGCAGCTCGAGGAAGAAGTCGGGCTGGCCAACAACCTCGGGGAGGCCGCGAGCCTTGGGGGCGCTGACGCTTCCCGCAAAGCCCGAACCCATGCGCCGCGAGATGCCGTTGCCAGCCGCGGCAAAGAAGCTGCTAGTTCCCGGGGCGACCGCCGTCGTCGCGCGGTCAAAGGTGGGGATGTTGGGAGGTGGCATGGCACCGTAGTTTGGGTTGACGACCACGGGGCTCGAGTTCCCACTTCCGTCGGCGGCGCGTTCGGCCTCGGCCTCGGCCATGCCCTGGATCCAAGCGGCGAGGTCGCGGAAGGCGGCAGCGATGAAACCGAAGGGCTTCATTGCCTGGCGCTCGCGGTGCGTAGAAAGGGCTAGAAGCGCGTAGACGCGCTTGTGGCCGCGCGCGTGCACGTCCGGGATGCGGAAGATGTAGGCCGTCGTATAGCCGGCGGCCGGGTCGCCGAAGAACATGGGTCCGCCCGACGCGGCCGCGCCTGTGCTGTGCGTCGTGACGAAGGAAGGGGGCGGAGCCGGAACGCCGGTGCTGGGCGCCATCCCCTGGTAACCCATCGTCCCGGACGCGGCAGGATTGCGTGGGAGCATCTCGAAGGACAAGGTCCGCAGGCACGAGTTACGCACCATCTTGAATGACACCTCGCCAGGCTCGTGGGTCGAGGTGTAGTTGACAAAGTGCGTATGGCTCCTCCTCGCGGTCGAGCTGCTGGCGCTGGAGCGAGACGTGGTCGACGTCAGAGTCCCGGTCCGGCGATGGCCGTATGTCGGGGTTTGTCGCTGCGGGGCGCGACCTCCTCCTGCCTCTTCCGTGTCTGATGAGGAAGACGACGTAGTCTGCGAGCTTCTTGGGGATGTGGCGCCCGAGTCGTAGACGCGCGCGTAGGGTGCTCGCGTGCGCAAGGTCGGGCCGCCGGGCCCGATTCTCGCATCCTCGGACGCGCCCTCCTGGCGACGAGGTAGAGTCATGGCGCAGTTATCGCAAGGGTTCGCGCGACGCGTGTCGTAGGTGCGTCGGAAGCCCGAATCCCGATTTGGCGCCGGGTGCGGGCTGACTGGCGGGCTCTCCACGGCAGATGCCGGGGGCGTGACCGTGTGCGAGATGCTCCGCACCAGACTGGCCCGGTGTCCTTGCGCATCGCGCTCCGATGCCGGTGTCGAGGAGCTTCGGTGGGCCGCGGTCGGGTTGATCTGTTGCAGTGCATCGGTAATGGCAGTGGCTGCCGGCGCCGAAATCTGTTGCGACCACTGGGCTCCGGACTGCAGACGGTCGCTGGTAGCCGGAAAATCCACCGTATCGTCCTCGTAGCACGTAGAGCAGGCCACGGGTAGCCCTTCGGTCACCATAAGAGGAGTTGGCCCATGAACGTCGCAGTAGTGCGCCAAGCACAGCTGCACTCCTGAGATTAGCATTTTGCTCTTGTTATCTGACAGTCGAAACAAGGCATTTGGCGACAAGGAAGCAGGCTGACCGGCGCTGCCAGACTAGAAAAGCGACAAGTTCAAAATAGAGGGCAATCTTGGTGTGTGTGTGTGTGTGTGTGTAGTTATGGTGAAGGAAAGGGAGGATTGGTGCAGATAGCGAGTCCAGGCCCAGGTGAGCAACCCGGCACTTTCACCAGGACCGAATCGGAATGGAACGTCCCATTCTGGGACAGCGGTGAGAAGGGAGGGCAAAAATGGCAGGTGACGCGTGATGTGGTTCAAGGAAGCAGGCTAGGCACCTCGCACACTTCCTCTCGGCTGAGCAATTGCAGCACACGCCTGCGGTGCCACGCGCACCCACGTGCCAGTGACAGTGGTGCCCGGCAAAGCAGATGTGTTGTGCCAAGTGGTGCATTTATAGCCAGTCGAACGTGGGGGTCTCGAGGCGACCTGGTGCCGATAACTTGGAAGATACGCGGAGACGACCACCCCCAACCACAAAGATAATGGAGAAACCATACAAGGAAAGGAAAGATAGTGGGACCAATGGTTCATTACAGGGTGCTCTGAGCTTGGCAAGCCAACCGGAGGGGGGCAGCGAAAGGAGGGAGGGCATGGAGCACGTGCAGCAAGTAAGAAAAGAAGAAAAAGCAACGGGGAAAGGAAAAAAAAGAAAAGGGAGTAAAAAAGCAAAGGGGTAAAAAGCAAGATAGAACAGAGCTGAAAGAACTACTCACTATCGACGTCATGGCTGGTGCTTTAATTTGCAAGAGAGTGAGGCGGCTGAGGAGGCTATGGCGCAGTGCGTGATGATTTGCGGTGAGCAGAAACGAGGGTTTGGCACGGCTAGCTGGGGCCGGGACACGGATTGCGCGTTTCTCTTGTCAGCGGTGGCGGAGGTGGGCGTTGGTGTGGGCGTGGGACGAGGCGCAGGCGAACTCGTTATGGACGGCGTTATAGGTCATAAAGACGAAAACCACGGTCGAATATGACGTTTCTTTGCTTGGGCGGTCGACGGAAGGGTGGCGGGAGGGACAGTCGAAGGGAGAGAGGGCCAAGAAGCCGGAGCACATGCAAATAATGTAATCCGAGGACGGGTATTGGAAGCCCAACGGAAAAGGAAGGAAAAAAAAAAGAATGGTCCGATCAGGGTTTGCCGTGGCTCCGTCTCGCTAACAAGGCGGGATGAACCCTTTTCCCGCGCTTCTGAGGCAGAGCGGAGGGATAGGGAGGCACCGGCCAGACTCGTCGATGGGAGAGTGGATTCCTTTAGTCACTGCCCGCCGAGGGCTCTTGTAAGTGACCGGGTCCCGCGGGACCTGCAGCGCCCACTTTACAGCTCAGCTTGCAAATGCAGAGTAAGCCGGTCGGTGGGTTTTTTTTTCTGCTTGCTTTTTGCTCGCTTTTGCTTGGTTGCTGTTCGTCCTCAGTCGTGGAGGGGACGCAAGTGTCGGCTTCTAGCGTTGGCTGTGCTTGGTCTGATTTCCTGTCTCCTTTCCTCGCTGCCCGGGATGTCCCTGTGTCGACCCGGGTGGCTGTTTGGATCAACTACTTGCTGCGCAACCCCCCAGGCAAGAGCCAGGGCCGATGCTGGGCGAGAGGTGAGCAGCAAGGCACCCAAAAGTTACACGAGCGCAGTTGTGACCGATGCCACCGGCCACAGCTGCCGCACCGACCCGTGAAACAGAAACAGAAAATGTTAAAAAGGTTAAAGGAGCGCGAGCCCAAGCCAGAGGAGCAGCACGAGGAGCGGGGACGCGAGAGTCGTATCGAGGGGTTGGCCTGGAAAGAAACTAGTGTCGTCGAGTGGGTTCCCAGGGTTCTGGTGATTTTCTCCGTTTTTTTTTTTTTTGTTTTTTGTGTCTCTCTCACTTGCTCCTTCTTTTCCTGGGAAGGGGTCGGGTCTCTCGCTTGCTCGCGCGGCCAGTCCTAGCGAGCCTCAACCGCTCCGGCCGAGGCCATCACGGGCAGAGAGGGCGGGGAGGTGCAGAAGAGGGCGGAAGGAGACCAAGGGCGACGAGCTCGCTATTGAGGCAGGTGGGTTGTGCGGGATGCAGGTGCCCACTCTCACACCGCAACAGCAGCGGGTTTAAGATGAGTGAAATGATGCGACATGCGCGGCAGCCCGATGAGTGGTTGAGGGCCGTGAGGTGCGTTGGGTGGGCTCTGGCAAGTGTGCAGAGGTATACAAGGCAGGCAGGTGGTAGGGAGGTAGGCAGACAGGCAGGTATCCAGGGGCAGCCAGATGCAGGCCCGTCCTTGGGGGAAACCTTTCACAGAGGAGTCGACGTTCGGATGACGCAGCAGACGTGGTGAGCGCTTCGTGGCGCCGTCGAAGATGGCAGAGTCTAAGGTGTCGTCGAGGTGGTCGGTTCAGGGAGGGAGCACAGAGGACGAGTGAGATTGCGTTCCAGACCGGCGAATTTGCATCGGGTCGGTGGCAGGTAGTTCCAGAGCCGTGCTCTTTGATGGGGAGCAGGACGGGGCCCCGGCGGGATGAAATGCTGGGGTGTGGTTGCGATTGGGCCGGAAAATGCGCTACAGCTCTGCGGCGTTGGGCTCGCGCGACAGCGGGTCCTCTGGCTCCAGGATGCGCAAACTCAGAAACGCGGACGCTGAATCATGCCCGCCCTCCACTGGCCGCCTCACTGTGGCCTTAATGTTTGCTGTCTTAAGCTTGTTTGCTCGCCGCCCTGTTGCCCGGACGGGAGACGTCAAGTCTGCGTTGCTTTGCCTGACGGGGGCGCACCGTCCGGGGTGGGATTACCATGGCGGGATTACCATCAAGCTGCTATTATCCGTCACACGAAAAGGGCAGAACGAAATGACCTCAGCAAACAGCCCGCCCGGAACCAGGAGTCGAGGTTCCTCCACGTGTTAGCGTAGCCAAAGTTGGGGACACTCGAGGGTCGAAAGCCCCTCGTCGTCTTCCACCCTTCTTCTCGTTTCTTCCTGCGTCCAGCGTCTCACCAACCACCGATGCCCGAAATTAGAGCAATGGGTTGCCAATGGGCCGCGAGCGGATTACCGGTCAAGGTAGCGCGCTCTTCCGCCCTGGAGGGTACCGATGGGTGTGGGGGGTGGGTGTGTGTGTGTGTGTGTGTGTGTGTGTGTGTGTGTGTCGTCGTCGCGTCGTACG